CCCGGTATACACGAATTTTAAGTTAATTAACCATATTCATCAATCCTGTTTTCTTGTAGTAGATGATTTTCTTTTCGCTCTTTTGAGCAATGGTTTATCGGTATGTAAGATCCACTGTTCAGTTGAGAAGTGGTAATTTTTCTATAGGTTGATTTATAGGTGTCTTAAGTACTCTCCTTGTAAATGCTTTATGCAGTTAATCAATAGAGCGGGATACATTCTCGGACTTCTGCATGCTGCCGAGTATAAGGTCACAGAGATGACGGACCCAGCCTCTAATAGGGATCTACTTTAGGTTCACAGCTGGCACCTTCTATCTGTCCTCACAAGACGCTAAGGGGGGCGGCTCTCCAGAATCTCTTTTCCATAAGGGGAAACGATATCATTCACGAGGTGCACCTCTAAATACTATCTCACTGGGGGTCAGCTCCCCTCATTTAAACTGACAGGGAACAAATGTTTACCATAGCATATATTTATGATGCTTTTCTGCTTTTCCAGCTGCTGTTCTTCCAATATTCTCACTTTTCCTCCTGCTCTTCCTCCCCTACTCCTCCCTCTCCTTTTCTCTCTTCTCTCCCACTCCTCCTTTTCCTCCCTCCTCCTCCCTCCTCTTCCTCCTCCCTCTTTTCCTCCTCCCCCTCAACACCATCATATCTTTCTCTCCTCCAGTTATCCATTGATTGTCTCCCAGCTCTATAGCCACTCTTCATCGCTCAGGCTCTAAAAATGTCTCTAGGTTCTTCACATGTATTTTAGTTCACATGCTCACATGAGAATAAGCCTTTCCAGCAGAGGGCGCTGAAGAGATGCTGCAAGAGAAAGGCTTTGTTCTTGGGTCCCCCAGACTCTACAGGTGTGATATCTAAATACAATAAGATACTAATCCTATGGCTAATATTTCTTATTTTAAGAAGGATAAATTATTTCCCCATGATCTAATTAGATAAGCCCTTTGAAAAGTTAGTTTTTCTAGGTGTTGGGACCATTTGGAGTCCTGGCCTCCAGCTGCTCTTCCCTGCTAGAGATCTTTACTTTCCTTTTTTTTTTTTGAGAATAAATTTTATTTTATTATTTTTTCCGCATCCTCCCCGTTTCCCATTTCCCTCCCCCTCCTCGCACACATCGCCCCCTATCCCTCTCCCCTACCCCCCACTCCATTCCCCCTCCCTCTCGAGAATGAAGAGCAGTCCAGATTCCCTGCCCTGCGGGAAGTCCAAGGTCCTCCCACTTCTATCCAGGACCAGGAAGGTGAGCACCCAAACAGGCTAGGCTCCCACAAAGCCAGATCATGTATTAGGATCGAAACCTAGTGCCATTGTCCTTGGCTTCTCATCAGCCTTCATTGTCTGCCATGTTCAGAAAGTCCGGTTTCATCCCATGCTTATTCAGTCCCAGTCCCGCTGGCCTTGGTGAGCTCACAATAGATCAGTTCCACTGTCACAGTGGGTGGATGCACCCCTCGTGGTCCTGACTTCCTTGCTCATGTTCTCCCTCCTTCTGTTCCTCATTTGGATCTTAAGAGCTCAGTCCGGTACTCCAATTATGGTCTCTGTCTCTGTCTCGATCCATCACCAGATGAAGGTTCTAAGGTGATATGCAAGACTTTCCTTTTGATTTGAGTTACTGAAAGCTGTGTCAAAGTTGTTTACCAGCTCTGCTTCACGAGCCCGTGTTGCCTTGCCGTGAGGATCAGAGAATAAGGTTTTCACCTGTTGGTCCACCTGACCGTGTTGGGTATATAAGCCTCCGTGGTGCTATTGAAAAAGGGGCTTCTTACCAGTGACTAGAGGTTCGTGCCTCTGTTTCTCCGTCTGCGTCTTTGTGTGTTTCAATCCCCAGCCCCTTGCCTGAAGCTCATGATCAGTGTGGTAGCGCATAGAGTGCAGACAGGCCTTGTGCGCTACACTAGGAGAGATGCAAAGGAAATTTGATGGGTCTGGGGAGATTCTGCACCTGGCCTTGGGAATGTCTGGTGGTGTCACCTTGGATGAGCACTGGATGACTGTGAAGGTCAATTCCAAGGCACTGGGAGTATCATCTAGGAGATTAGAATGTCTTAGGGTTGTTCAGTAATAAGAAAACAGAGGACACAGTCTTACACACACAAGGAACAGAGTTCTTCCCGTAAACTGAATGAGCTGGGAACCAGATTGATCCAGAGTTTCAGGAGAAGACCTTGAAGAGCAGACCTTGGGAGCCAAGTGTGGTGGTTGACCCTACCTTAGGAAAAGCTCTGATCTACCTCATAGTCAGAGCTTCTTTTCTACAGAGACTGACACAGGAAGGTGGCTATGAGATCAAGACAAGATTGCTCTGTTATTGAGGGTAAGACTAGGAAAATAAAACAGAGTTAAAGGACCCTGAACAGAAAGTGGAGCTGAGCCACCTGGTTCCTTGACCCACAAACACTGAACAGTAATTCTGAGGTATTTTAAAGCCTCTAAATTTGTGGTAATTTTACAAAGCAAGAGAAAATTAATATAAGTTTTTTTTTCTAAGCCATCTCCTGATACAGTTGTAGCTTCCAACTGTCTTCATGACAATTCAGCTTGGAAAGTTTTGAGACCTCCCTAGTCTCGGTGCTGTAGATAGGATGTTCTCATTCTGTTTGTCAGTGAATCATTTCATCACGGCGCACTTGTGTCTCCCTGTAACACTAGAACTTTTGTGAATGACAACAAACTGGCGCACTTGTGTCTCCCTGTAACACTAGAACTTTTGTGAATGACAACAAACTGAAAGGTTACATGAATTTCATTGACCTTAATTCTCCGAGTACTCCTGATTTTGATTTTGTCTATCAGAGATTCTTCTATTAGATTCCAACCTTAATTATGAATAGAAACTCCCAGGTATTACACCATACCACACACAACAACATACAGAACATAGCATGGCAAAGGAAGGGTTAAAGAGAAAAGGTCCCAAAAGTCCCTCTAGGGAGCCAATACAGACGCAAAGAGTCATTGCAGGTGCTTGAATAAGATATTTATATAAGGAATGATGTCGCTGAAGGGTCAGGACAATGAGCAGCTAAAGCAGAGCTGGGGCAAAGAGGAGAACCGATTCAAGGTGCACTTAGGTCAGAGGAACTGTCGTTTCACGTGGGTCTAATCTTGTAGACAGGTCACACTGAGCTCAGTGGTTGTTTGTTAGTTCCATGATGCACTTTGAGAAATGGTCTGAGGCCAGTCAGGTACCTTCAAATTGTAGTGTTGTTGAACAGTCCTTTCTTAAAATGCAGATGGAGAGTTGCATCATGGGTTGTCTGTTGTGTTTGCCAAGCTCAAGGACCTGCTTTTTCTGATACTCTTTTTATATCTTCATGTGTTCATGTTCATAACAGCTTAAGTCCTTATAATTATAATCCATTTATTCCCTTGATTTTCACTTATTTATTCATGTGATACAACATAATGATCTAAGGCCTCCATCAAAGACAAAGAAAGCCACCAATGATGTTGAGAACTATGACTGTTTTTCTTTATAGTCTGCACAGGTCTGTCATTAAAACTGGGAACTAGTTGCTGCAGACTTAAAGGCAGAGATGATTTCATTTGAAGCTCAACTAGCTGGCATCTGGTAAACCAGGAGTTGAATATAGGTTCCTGTTTCCAGCTTCAGTTCTATGTTCTTCTCTTGATCCAATGTGTATACTTTAAGTCAAAGATATTAGATAGAAATGATGAAGTGTTTTTTGTTTGTTTGTTTTCTTATTTTTTTTATTAAAAATTTCTACCTCCTCCAATTTCCCTCCCCCTCCCTCTTCAGTCCAAAGAACAGTCAGGGTTTCCTGCCCTGTGGGAAGTCCAAGATCCTCCCCACTCCCATCCAGGTCTAGGAAGGTGAGCATCCAAACTAGGCTCTCACAAGGCCAGTCCATGCAGTAGAATCAAAACTCAGTGCCATTGTCCTTGGCTTTTCAGTCAGCCCTTATTGTCAGCCACATTCAGAGAGTCCAGTTTGATCACATGCCCCATCAGTCCCAGTCCAGCTGGCCTTGGTGAGTTCCCAGTAGATCAGTCCCACCATCTCAGTGGGTGGGCGCACCCCTCACGATCCAGACTTTCTTGCTCATGTTCTCCCTCCTTCTGCTCCTCATTTGAACCTTGGGAGCTTAGTCTAGTGCTCCAATGTGGGTCTCTGTCTCTATCTCCATCCATCGCCAGATGAAGGTTCTATGGTGATATGCAAGATATTCATCAGTGTGGCTATAGGATAAGGCCAGTTCAGGCACCCTCTCCTCTGCTGCCCATGGAACTAGTTGGGGAAATCCTCTTGGACACCTGGGAATCCCTCTAGAGCCGAGACTATAACCAACCCTAAAATGGCTGCCTTTGTTAGGATAACTTCTTCCCTGCTCCCATATCCACCCTTCCTCCATTTCAATTATCCCATCCCCCCAAGCTCTCCCTAACCCTCCCCGTCTCCCTTCTCTTTCCCCATCTCCCCTTACCCACAATCCACTCTCACCCCCCTGCTTCCAACTTTTGCCCAGCGATCATGTCAACTTCCAATATCCAGGAGGATAACTGTATGTTTTTCTTTGGGTTCACCTTCTTATTTAACTTCTCTAGGGATCATGAACTATAGGCTCCATGTCCTTTGTTTATGGCTAGAATCCACTTATGAGTGAGTACATACCATATTCCTCTTTTTGGGTCTGGGTTATCTCACTCGGTAAAGTGTTTTCTATTTCCATCCATTTGCAGGCAAAGTTCAAGATGTCATTGTTTTTTAGGGCTGAGTAGAACTATAAAGTATATATGTGCCACACCTTCTTTATCCATTCTTCTATTGAGGGGCACCTAGGTTGTTTCCAGGTTCTGGCTATTACAAATAGTGCTGTAATAGACAGGAGTCATTTTGCATCAGCATTGTTGCTTTATGAAACTGGGTCACGTGGGGGTAAGAACATCTACTGTTCTATACGGGCACACCCCTCACACCACATTCTATTCTAAAGCGACTGAAACACTGGCTTGGGAGGTCCGGATGACGGTTTGTCTCTTATTTTATTCTGTGTCTCCTTCACTTCATGCTTTGGTTTAAAACCTGGTTTGGCAGGAAGACCTTTCACAAACAGCCCCGATTGGATGAGGCCACTGTCTCTTATTCTTCTTCCTTTTGTAGCTCTTAGCAGCAGTCACATGTGTAGCTGCCTGCCTAGCTGGTTGTCTCCCGGAACACACCTCGTCTTCCTTAACGTCACACTTTTACCTGGTTCAGTTTATCTTTTCCAGGGCTAGCATTGCTGTGTGAATGGGTGTAAGCAGGAAAAGAAGCTCAGGGGTGCAGCACAGAGTCAGGAAATGTGGAAGCACTGTGTACTTGCTCCAACGAAGAGAGTCTCGGTTTTGAATTGCACCAGCTGTCCCACCCAGCAGAGCTACTAGCAGGTATGGATGGGGCTGTTCTAGGAACAATCGAGAAAGCATTAGCAATATAGTGCTAAGGACAGGGGCAATCTTACAGAAAGGGTTTTTTATTTATTTATTACTGTAAGTTTTCTTGAGTCATCTCCATTTCAAGCAGGTCTGCATATAGTCAAGCTCAGGATAATTTTATTTTTATTCTGCTTGACTTTCTTTTCCTCATATTCTTTTTTTTCTACTGGGGAAAACAAAAGCTAAGGGAAATTGGCATGCAGCCAACCAAGCCTTTCCTGCTTTGAATTTCAGTTTGGTTTCTTTTCCTGTGCCTCTGAAACCTACATTAGCCAAAGAAGTTTCTGTTTTCCGACTGCTCCACAACTCAGAAAAAAAAGGGTCTCTACTTAATTTGCCCTCTGTTTCAGTTTGCTCCACGTCTCAGCAGCAGGTAAGCGCCTCTTGCCCACCTGCTCGGTTCTCTTTGATCTCCAGGGTGAAACTGGCAGGGTGACCACAGACTTCTCATTTACTTCGGGGCATACTTTAATGAAAACTTCACACATTGCTAACCAAGTTCAGAGAGAGTGAACTCTAGAACCATTTTCTAATATTTCTATCACATGTCAATGATGATTTGCTTTACTTAATCAGATTTGCTTTGGAAGAAAAATGTTGCATGAAAAGTAGAGCAATCTGTGACTCTTTCCTTTGTCCCCTTCTTTACTTCTTCCCCAGAGGGAAGCATAACCAAGACATCTGTGTAGATCATTGCCATGCATGTTTCTGTGTATCTTCTGTGTGTATAATGTTTGAATGTAGTCTTTGGTGTTGCTTCATGGTAACATTTTAGATCGGTGACACCAGACCTAATTTCTCATGCTTAGTTTGTTTTTTAAAGTAAAAGGAAATTATTTGACCTTTATCCATGTTTATAAATATAGCCTTCATCTTTTGACCTCAACTGCTGTTAACTTCATGATGTAGAACTGCCAAAATGTGTCTACCTCATCTACACACGTCTTCATAAACAGCGCAGGTCTGAATGTACTTTCTGCTGAACTCTATGTGGCCATCAGGACAGTGTCAACAACTTTATTTAAAACATTTATTTTCCTTGTGGGTATGTGTGTATGCCTAAGTGTTCATATGTGTACCCACATATGCAGTGCCCATAGCAGCCAGAAGAGAGCCTCAGACCCCTTGAAATGGGAGTGTCAAGAGGTTCTGGGCATGCTGCAAACTCAACCCTGGTCCTCCAGAGAAGCAGCAAGGTCTTTTAATCATTGACCCATCTCTCCAGCCCCTCACACCAGCTGTTGGCACTGCTGGATATTTATTCTGATGTGAAATGTATTCAGCATGGAGCTGTCACATTGTACAATATTTATCTCTTTTTCTGTGTTCATTAATCTTTTGGTTCACAACATTTTTGATTTTGCTCTTCACGTTCTTGGACTATTTTTTTTTTCTGTGTGATTCATTGTTTACTTATTCCTCTGTAGGATAGCTTTATAGAACCTGCATTATATAATTCACCAACTAGTTTTTTTTTTTTGGTGTATCTTGTTATAGGCAATCATTTGTTTTCAAAGTCAATTTTATCTTTTCTTTATAGCTTGTATCTTCAGTTTCTTATTTCCAATATCCAGTAATTAAGTTGCCATGCAATGACCCACACTAGAAATACTGCTTATCTTAGTGCAGCAAGACTGCATCTATTGGAAGAGAAAAGAAATTCTGTGTACCTCCAGTCTGTAATTTCTCTTCCAGATCTTTTCAGAATTCTGACCCATCACCCATGGACAAAGCTCACTTAGTGCTCTTTCTGTCATTTATTCCAAAATAAGAATTCTGTTTTAGTTCTGTTAGTCTAGCTGGAGCTTTACTTAAATTTTCAGCATTTCAGGTGGCTGCCACGTATGCGTGCATGTGTGTATATGTGTGTGTGCGTGTAGGTGCACATATACCACAGCATTTTGGAGTTCAGAGAACAATACATTGTGCCTGTACTTCTTGCGGCGAACTCCCTGACCAGCAGGAAGGAACAGCCACCAGACGAGGATTCTTCCCAAATCACGCTTTATTGGAGCCTCTTGGTTGAAGGGAGAACAGAAAGCAAGGGGCCCCGAGCTCTGAGCTGCAGCTACTTATATAGGGAGTCTGACTAGCAACCTTTGATACTTTGATACTTTAACTGCTTGAGACCCACTAGTAGGAAAGAAAGCAGGGGAACATCCCTGTCAATTACAGACCACAAGGAAGTTCCCCTGCCGGTCAGGGGAAGTGTGGTCAGCTAGATCACAACAACTCATCCTGTTTTCTAGTGGAAGAACTGCAACCTTATCAAGCGAGGCCGGGGTCAAATGCCATCTTGTAATGGCAGCCACTCAAATCGGCTCCCAGCAACTTTTCTTCCATTTTGTTTGAAGAAAGGTTTCCTGTGCACTGCTGCATATAGTGAGCTACTTGATCTACATGCTTCTACCTGGTCTACATGCTCCTACCTGGTCTACATGCTCCTACCTGGTCTACATGCTCCTACCTGGTCTACATGCTTCTACCTGGCTTGCACACTTCTACCTCACTCATAGGCTTCAGGAGATTGGCCTACTTTTGAATCCCTTTTAGCCATAGGAATGCTGGTCTTACATATGAGCACTATTGTGGCTGGATTTACATGAGTTTTGCAGATTTGAACTCAGGCCCTTGTACTTACAAGGCAGATACTTTTCTCACTGACTGTTTATCGTCCTCCAAGGTAACTCTTTGAAGTTAACTTGTACAACTTGTGCTCAGGGAAGTGTAATTCTAAACATCAAGTTTGCTCTTCTGTGCTAACTCTTCTGAATCTTAGCCAATAATGTAATTATTTACCAGACTCCTATTAATTAGACTGGTTGATTGTCTAATGATTTTTATTATACATTACATATTATATTATAATATAAAGGTATTATACAGTTTATACCTTTTTTTCTATTCTAGTAACTAGTGTAATGGCTGTGGGATTCGCTGTCACTGAGAGACTTACATAGCTGACACCTTACCTATTTCTGTTATTTCCTTGTGGACTGTTTTTTGAACATATTTTTATTTTCCTCCTTTAGTCCATGGGTTGACAAGTTGTAGTCCACATGAGGTAAAGAGTGTTTTGTTGACATGCAGTCATATTCATTTGTTTAGATAAAGAATTAGTTTATTTTTGTTACTATAATAAAGTATTTCAGACAAGCTAACTTTATAAAGGAAACAGACCTCTAAAGCTATTTTGCCCAGCTATGGTACATGTCTTCTTGGCTGTACCACATCAAGGAGGATTGTTTTATGGTAGGATCATATATAATATCACATAAGATATCAGAATCATAGACAGCCTTAGGGTTTTATAGCAATTCCCTCATGGAAAATGACCAGGGTTCTATGAGTAGTACCTTAGATTCTTAGCGAAACATGTTTCTAGATTGACCTATCTATTTATCACTAGGTCCTGTCTCTTTGTTGTCCTATCAGTCAATATCACATTGAGGACAAAACTCCCAATGCATAAATCTTTGGGTGAATCACACTTAAACCACAGCACACATTGTCTTTAGCTGCTGTGGTAATGGTGATAGACAAGTAGTCAAGGCAGAGCCTGTGTGGACCACAAAACTTAGATCATTTACTATTTGTCTGGTTAAGGTAAAATAGCTATTGATTTCTATTTTTTTGTTTTTTTGTTTTATATTTTTCCTCTAGTCTGGAATTTACTCTGTCAACCAGTTTTAGACTTTCATTTATTTTTGTATTTGAAGACAAAGTCTCCCGTGTAATGCTGGCTGGACTGGAACTCACTATGTATGTAGACAAGGTTGGCCTTGTACTCCCAGAGATGTACTTGCCTTTGTCTCCTGAGTGCTGGGTTTAAAGGAGTGTGCCATCATTCCCAGTCCAGTGTTAAATTTTAATACTATTTATCATTTCTAAAGTGTCTATTTTCATATATAATTGCTGTTCCTCCACCTCTATGTTGTATATTTTTAGCTCAAAATCTTAATGTGTTTTAATTGGGTTAGAGCACAATAGAAGTCACTGGAACTAAACAGAACCTTGTAACTTAAACTGCTATGTTGTGTTAATCACTCAACTTTTATTGTTTTTTCTATCAGCTGCAGGGACATGGAAGTGACAACCAGACTGACATGGATACAGGAAAAGCTTCTGGAACAACTACTTGGGAAAGCATCTTTAACTCTTCTTTATAAGTCTAGCATTCATCAGTTTAAAACTCTTGATATGACTAAGATATGCTCTAATCAGGGATCCACAATAACAGTCATTCACTTGGAGCAAAATGTTGTGGGTGTTTTTATGCTGGAACAGTTTCCCCTTTTACATTCCAAAAAGTCAAGCCTTTGTGTTTGGTTTTCATTTAGACAGAGCAGCAGCACTGGAATGCCAGCTTTAGTTTTGAATACACAAGTAGAAGTCAATGCCACACAGTTAAAATTTTTCTCATCCAGTGGCTTGTCTCTCCTTGTGGATCCAAGAAATTATGAGCTTCATCTGAATGCCGAAGTAATAAAAGAGCTAGAACTTGATCTTAAAGGTGTCTCTCCGTATTTGGAATGTGAAATGTTTCGAGTTGATGGTATGTACAAAAGGATACACTGCCTCTACTGTTTGGTTCCAGTCTTTGCAGTTAATACATTATCACTGGTGTGCAGGGACAAAAAAAAGACGAATAAACATTAGCATATTATGCAGGACTAAGGACTATAGACTGCTGCAAACAAAGAAATTTAAGATGGATATGTATAGAGGTGGCCTCGTATCGTCCTCTCTGACGGACCCACCAATACATTTGAAACCTAACTTGACTTATGACTATCTTTGTTCTGCAAAACTATGAAAGTGTTGTAAAACTGCTCCGAAGTTGGAACATGGAATTTAGGGTAACATACATCTGTGTTCCCCAGGTCATGGTCAATAAAATGACGACAAGATAAACTATCTGTATCATGATTAATAAAAGCCCAGAGTCAGAAATTGTGGTTCAACCTGAAGGTCAGAAAAGCAAAACAGCCAGTCACGGGCTCTTACCTCTACATCAGTTCAAAAATGGCAAGTCTGCCTCCAGGAATCTCAGAATGAAACTGCGTCTGAGAGCTGTCTCTTCTGTTTTATAATCCTCTCTAGTGCTGGGGTTAGGGGCGTGCACCATTACCACCTGATTTCTATGGCAAACTAGCGTGGCTACTGGGATCAAAGGCGTGTGTCACCACCTCCTGATCTGTAAAGCTGACCAGTACAGCTGTCTTACTCTCTGATCTTCAGGCAAGCTTTATTTATTAAAATACAAATATCTCTTTCTCCCATAAGAGACAGAGATGGAGATGAAGGTAGGGACTGGAGAGAGGAGAGTAGGAGTGAGAGAGAAAAAAGGAGGGTAGCATCAGAAAGAAACTTTGACTTTACAATTGAAAAGAGAGTCATTCGTTCTCTTTCTCTCAGGATGTTGCCACCTTGAACTCTTAGTTGAGAAGGCCAGGGTTATACAAATGGACCAGCCCTGTGTAGGAGAGAGACTTGGCTCCAGAGAACCAAAAAGTCAGAGAGCTTACTATATGCTGTGCTTATTTTCTCTAGGCATTAAGAGGGATCCAGAGTTCATAAAGAAGATGGTAACCATCAAACAGTAAGTTAGATTCTTGACTTACCTGTTATTTATTTCATTTAGATTAATTGTGGTAAGAGTACTGACAATGAACTAGTAAGAAAGATAAAAAAAATCATATAACTTGGAATGATAAAATTTGCTATTAATAGACAATATTCCAGTTACTACCAGAACAAAATCTCCCTTTCCCAACTTATAGATATGAATATATTTTTATTTTCCCTTAATATATTTTATTACAAATAATCACTTACTTTCAGGGTTCGCATCTCCCAAATATTTGTGTTCCAAGGTTAATGATGGCTTGTTACAGTTTAAGATTTCATGCTGGGCAGCAGTGGTGCACACCTTTAATCCCATCACTTGGGAGGCAGAGGCAAGTGGATCTTTGTGAGTTCGAGGCCAGCCTGGTCTACAGAGTGATTTCTAGCACAGTCAGGGCTGCACAGTAAAACACTGTCTTGAAAAACCAAAAACAAAAAAAAAAAGAGAAAGATTTTACTCTGATATATAAATGCAGTTTATCTAAGTGCAAAATATTTAACCCGGGATGTTTATGTTTGGGGTGCTGCGCTTAATATGTTATAAAGTTACTGTTGAAATAAGCATGTAGGCAAACCTGTCCCTATAATGGAAGAAACAGGGTCTAGGGTAGCTACACTGCTTTGTGGAAAACCTGCTGTTATATTTATTCCCTGCATTCTAAATAGGTACCGGGAAAAGCTCCTATCTGCTCTTAGAGCCTACAGGCCCCATGAAGACTTGGTTCCACAAGTTCGTATCCTCTTGGTGGGCCCAGTAGGTTCTGGAAAGTCGAGCTTTTTCAATTCAGTGAAGTCTGCTTTCCAGGGTCACTTAACTCGCCAGGCCATTGTGGGGTCTGATGAAACCAGCATTACCGAACAGGTAAGTTACCTGAAGATCTGCGAAAAGATTGGAACTTTTCAGGTTACGTGAATGCAAGTGTTCATGTCTTTGTAATTTTCTCTCATCCATAGCCTTCTTCCTAATATGCAATTACATACTAAATATGTGAGTAAAATAGAAGCAAACATTGCTTCAGAATTATCTCTATTCATAATATCACCCAGAGAAGCATTTTGTTTTTACAGATCCAAGAATTAGTTATATAAAAAAACACCTTTTCATCCTTGTTGCAAATTTATTTTAAGACTACAAATCAGTTTATCATTGGTTCTACATTGAATAGCTCAAAATGTTTCTAAGACTTTTCATGAATTGCATACTGTTTCTTCTGTAAATTTATTTCAACCTATCAGTCTAGACTGAGAAGTCAAGGCAAGAAGCTACAACAAGAATTTAATCTATTAAGCATTCGTTGAAATACTTCAGTGTCCAAACTGCTGTGATATCACAGAAAGGTTCTGTACTTTCTAGTAGAGTGTAGCATTAGATCATCTCCTGTACCACATATGGAAGAACTATGACAACATAGCAGCTTTGAATACTGAAGGAATTAATTTTTTCAGGCTTGATGCGGTGGTACATGTTTGTAATCCCAGCCCTTAGGAGCCCGAGGTAGGAGGATCATGCCAGTTCCAGGCCACTGTATTAAAATATTAGCTTATCTCTCTTTTTATTCTTTTGTCTTGGATGCTAGCAAATATACTTTAACTCAATATTTTCTTTTACAGTATAGAATATATAATGTTAAAGATGGAGAAGGTGGGAAAACGCTCCCATTTTTGTTATGTGACTCAATGGGGCTGGATGAGAGAGAAGAAGCGGGATTGTGTGTAGATGACATACCTCATATCTTAAGAGGCTATGTACCAGACAGGTATCAGGTAAGATTTCTTTCATCCCAGGACCTCACTGCATCTTTATGCCACAAGATCATTTGAACTGCCCTGATATGATCCCAGCATTAGTGCTACTCTACTTTGAATGAATATATATATATTATGAGAGAAAGGTAAAGAGATGGTCATTTTAGTCTGTGCCATTGAGCAATAAAACTAATTGGCAGGAACTTGACTTGTCTGAATTCCATGAAATGTTCAAAGACTGTTCAGTTTGTAAGATTCTTTCGGTAATGTAAACTGTGAGTGAAGATGCCATTTCTTAAACAATGGTAGTTTAATTTTGTGCAAGTTTAATTATGCATACTAGATATTAGAATAATTGACTATTGTCCGTTGAGATATGTTCCGCAAGAGCGAGGCAAGGCTATCACATGCCAGGATCCAGAGATGTGTACCCATGAAGGAAGTTACATAATCTTCTTTTTTAAATATATGAAATGTAAGAATTAATACTATCTTCTAGAATGCCTGAGAATAGTAGGTGTCTGAGCTACTCCAAGTACTCAAAGAACACTTAGCACCTTTCTTTTAGGTATGGGATATAACAAATGGCTTTCAGTTTCTAAACATTTATCTTTTCTTTCATTTAAACTTGATTGAAAAGATTGACTGTGTTCATTTGTTCATTTGAAATTATTTATTAAAATATAATTTGTTCTAGACACAAAGAGAATAACTGAAAAAAATCCACAGTTAACTAAGAGTGCAGGCATTATTTTCAAGAGACTTACAGTCTAGTTAGGGAAAAGAATTACAACATGACAGGGAGAAAGAGAGCAGTAAGAGAGGAAAGTTGTATCACTAAGACTCTATGATTTCATAGCAGGAAACCGTTCAACTCAGTTCAACATTGAACACATGTGCGTGCTCCCGGGAGTGCATGCTCACACACATGCACACATGTACACACTTATAAATGTCTGCTATGTTTCACAATCATCTATTCTTTCAATATCAGAAAGATCATTGTCTTTTTGGGGTAAGGAGAAGCTGACTTGGAAGCTGGTATTTCATCTTATTTTGCCTTAAAAAAATTAAGAAACCATAGTCTTTAAGTTTAAATGTCATTTCATTCTCTTTTCTCTGTCTGCCTCTTTCCATTCATTATTCCTTTTAAGCATGTGAAATTCTCAAGGAGGAATCTTAAATGATACATAGCAAATTGTAATGGTATTTGCTTCTGGAGATTGAAGATTTAAGTCAGATTTTAAAAGTATTCTTTGCATTTTCCTCCAATAATTGCAGTGGTTAGTCATTTTTTATCAAAACAATAAAGCTATTTGTCTTTAAGAAAACTGTGGTGAGAAGCAGGAAGATATAAATAAGAAACCGAGGAAGACACTGGGGAAAGAAGGGCGAGTGGCTGTGGTTTCTGCTGTGGGAACCAAGCCAAGTCTCTGAAAAGTGAATGTCCACTTGTGTTTCTGTGCAGTTCAATCCGTGTAAGCCAATAGAGGTGACACTCTTCACTTACAACACCCCTCCACCACTGAAGGACAGGATTCACTGTGTGGCTTATGTCTTGAACATCAACGCTGTTAACATGCTGTCTGATAAAATGGTGGCAAAGCTCAAAAAGATTCACAGAGATGCAGTACACTGTGGTAAGTCTCTTTGTAAAACTTTGAAATAATTGCAATTTCACAGGAAATCACAAAAAGATTAGTCAGGAGAGCTGCTTTGGTAAATGTCCTGAGCTCCAAGTTGGTGGCAAGTGCAGAAGGGATCACCTTAGAGACCTCTTCCATGTTAGCCTTCAGAGCAGAAGGGCTAGGCAGCCTCTCGTTTCCTGTTGTACAGTCTTCTTGCCATTTTAAAAGAGATTCAGCTTCTCACAGGAACTAGCTAGCAGGATCAAAACCAGGGTACTGACACTGTTGCGCTATTTTATCATATGTGGAAATTCATGAAATTATGTCTACAACCTAGGATACAGAACTATCTCATTACTACAAAGAAAGCAAAGATATCCTTAACTATTTGTGGCTACTTCTTTGTGATTATGAGTCTTCATTTGAGAATATTATGCAAATAGAATCATCCATTATGCTATCTTTTGAGAATGACTGTATTAACTTGGCCTAACATCCTTTCAAATCCATGTCATACATTTTATGTTGATCATTGATTTTATGACTGTTGAGTAATATTCTCTAGTATAGTTATACTGGAATGTGTTTAACCATTGCCTAATTTTAGATTTGATAAATAAAATGCTTCTGAATATTAGTGCTTTCATTTTGTGTTTGGGGGTTAGTTTCCCATGGATAAGACTGCTATATCATATAAAAATATATGTTAATTTTTTAAAAAAATCACAAAACTCATATTCAGAGAATTGATATTGTGCTACATTCCAATTGGCACTCTATGGCCAATCCAAGTTTTCTGTGTTCTTTCTAATATTTGGCATCATTGTTGTCACTATTAAAAAGTAGCTTCTTTAATAGATATGTAGAAATATGTCATCATGTCCTTAACTTGCTTTACCCAGTGATCCATAAAATCAAATGTCTTGTCACACAATCACTAGTCTTCTATATATCTCCAGTAAAATGCTTTATTTCATATCTTTTACTCATTTTCTGATTTATTTTATACGTATGTTTTCTTTTATGTTGAATTTTAGGAGATCCCTTATCTTAGTCAATGCTCTATTGCTGTGAAAAGATATCAGGACCATGGCATTTTTTATAAAGAAAAACATTTAATTGGGGTGGCTTACAGTTTTAGATGTTCAGTCTAATGTCATCAAGGTGAGGAACATGGCAGCAGGCAGGTAGACATGGTGCTGGAGAAGTAGCTGAGATTTCTACATCTGGATCCTCAGGCAGCTGGAAGAGAGAAAGAGACTCTGGGCCTGACTTGGACTCTTGAAACCTCAAAGCTTACCTCCAGAGACATACTTCCTTCAACAAGGCCACACCTCCTAATCCTTCCAAACAGCGCCATTCCCTAGTGACCAAACATTCAAATCTATGAACCCATAGGGGCCATTTTTATTCAATCACATCCCTAAATCTGAGAACCGAGTCACTGTCGAACATATGGTTTGCAAACAGTTTCTCCATGTCAATATCTATACTTTTTGTTTTGTTTTTCATTATCATTAAGTTTGGTTCTTTCTTTCCTCCATGGACTCTTATGGCATGACAATTAGATCTTTTACTGTAGACTGCCTATTTATTTTTCTGCATATCTAATGCACATTATATACATTTAAGGTAACTGTATATGGAAACATTTCTAAAACAGTGGTGGGTTTAGGATATGACTGAATTAGAGAAGTATTAGAATTTGCAGTTAGTTTCTAAGGACATATGGCATTACACCACCATGAAGTGACGTTTAATGAAAGTGAGTCTGTAAGAGGGGCCCTCCTCAGCAAAGAATGTACCCAATCGGTTGTCCATTCTCAAAGGGTTAGAACCGACAATATACACACAGGTAGCTTCATATGGACTGAAGAGGTGATATTTAGGAATATATGTATGTACATAAATGCATTCAATAACAGAAAAAAACAAGGCTACGTATTTGAAGGAGAACAGGGAGGGGTGCATGGAAGGGTTTCCAGGGAGGAAACTTATAATCAAGTTATAATCTCAAGGAGAGAGTGGGGAAGAAGAGGGAATAGTGTTAATTTTGAAGATAACAGATCTGCATGCTTGCGGGAGAATGTAACAAGATCTCAACTGAACTCTGAGGTCAGGGTAGCCTGTTGGTATACACCCTTCTTCACTAGTCTCTTTTTTAATGTTTCTCTGTAGTTCAGTGGTGCAGTAGCCACGTTTCCCACATTGAAAGCCTACTAAGTTTTCAAACTTATTGTGAGGTTAGGTGTATCTCAAAGTAAGCTCTCCTTTGGAAAGGAAATGACCTTTGGAAGAAGATCAGACTTAGATTTACTGGGGATATTTCATGCCCAATGCTCCAATCATCTGCAGAAAGCAATGTTCATATGCACATTTAAATGTCTTGACATATTCCTCTAATAATGATGTCTGTTTGATACAGGTGTAAGAGAAGTAGCCTTGCTTACTAATGTGAATAACTGTGATGAAGTTCTTGATGACAATTTTTTAAACATGACAGAAAGTGTGACTTCTCAAAGACAGGTAAAGAGTGATGTTCATAATCAGGTGATCTAGAGGGAGAACCACAGCCATGTGCTCACTTAGTCTCCCTCTCTCATTACTACTGTGTGCGTATGTGCACATATATATCGACATGAGTGTGTGCGAGTAGGCAAATGTGTGCATGTGCTTGTGTGTGTGTTTAGTCACAAATAAATTGAGAATTAGGCCAAGATGGGTGCATTTCTTCAGGCCTGTAATGTTAGGCACTCAGGAAGCTGACATCAGAAGGTTCCAAATTCAAGTCCTGTTTGATAATGTTTCAAAATGCAAAGTAAAAAGAAGCTGTAGATATAGCACAATGGAAGGGAATTGCCAAGAACATGGGATGCATCGAGTTCAGTCCACATTTATACAAATAACTGGGTTGATTGCTCAGTTTGTTGTAGTTTATATTTCATTTTACAACCATAACTATCAATAATTTGCATAAATATAATTTCATTCTGAAGAGGACTTACCAAGCCACTAGCTTTTCAGTTCCTGTTCTTAATTGTATTAATATTAAGTCACATTTCTGGCTTGATATTCTTCATATATATATATATATACAAATATGTTTTATATATAGACATATATGTGTTTCACAAATATGTTTTTACATAAAATGCATTTGAAATATATTTTTCACAGGTAAAGAATGTCCAAAACATGCTAAATATTCCTTTGGCTAACATCTTAATGGTTAGTAATTATGCTTTGGAACGATCATTGGACCCTCTGAAGGATATTCTGATCTTTGCTGCACTCAAGCAGATGTTACGGGCAGCAAATGACTCCTTAGAAGACTTGCTTCTTAAGGAAACTGGTAAACTGGTCCTCTCTAAAGTTCTTGTGTCTTTTGGAAAACCATCAGCTGTACTTCACTGGGGTGGCTGGGACCCATTTACCTGGCCCTGATGTGGGCTGCAACATGTGCTTCTTCCTGCTTGTGCTTGTCTTGTTTTTGCAGGAGTGTGAGGAATGGCATGCTCCTCTGTGACATTAGCTACCCTCTTTAGCCCAAACCTAAATTTCTTTAAGAAGAGTTAGTCTGTTGATAGCCTCTTTGAGACCCTGCCTTTGTTAATGGTACTGCTCTGTTCTTTTGACAGCATCAGCTAAAGGATCCTTGAAGAGCCGGTCACGGCTGGGAAAATGAAGATGAAGCCTGAGAAGTGGAGAGGAGGGAGATGCCCGACAACAGATCCTCTTCCCTGTGCCTGTACCCACCACATCTTGATATCCTGATGCTTTGTATTTCCTTCCTATCACATTATACAATTCTATGTATCCTTACTGATCACACAGCAATTACAAAATTATATAGCTATCTGCTGTTCCAAATAGAGTGTAAGTTCTCTGAGAAATAGGCTCTAGATTGACCTCTGTAGTCATAGAGCTCGGCACAAGGTCTGGTTAGCATTGAGAATACTAACAATGACTCTTCTGTAACACTTTCTCTACCTTGGTATTTACTTAGATATCTACTCCAAATGGATGGGAAGACACAAAGAGTAAGATGCTGGAAAGAGAATGAGAAAATAAGAATGGAGAGGGTCTTATTATCTCTGCTTGAAAACATGAATGCCTCTAGCCAATTTATGCCTCCAATTAATTAAAAAGAGACAATATTTGTGAACAACTCCATTAATTGCATTAATGTTTTAATTTCATGAAATAAAGATTCTTCCTGTAATGTTGCCATGCTTGCTTTTAATCGACTGAATCCCAAAGAGTCATAGCTGTGATGTGGGAGTTCCCTCTGTGTGCTGTGATTACCATTAATGAATAAAGAAATTGCTTTGAACCTATAGCAAGGCAGAACTTAGGTAGGCAGTGAAAGCTAGGTTGAATGCTGGGAGAAAGAAGGGCAGAGTCAGAGAGATGCCATGGAGCTGCCACCAAAGATAGACGTGCTGAAACTTTGCTGGTAAGTTACGACCTCATGGTGTTGCACATGTTAATGGAGATGGGTTAAATTAAGATGTAAGAGTTAGCAAGGAAAAGCTAGAGCTAAAGGGTCAAGCAATGATTTAATTAATGCAGTCTCTGTGTGATTATTTTGGGGCTAAGCTAGCTGGGTGGCTGGAAACTGGGCAGCAGGAACCAATAAGTGGCTCTCTCCTCCAACAATTTGGTACCTAACGTGGGGTACCAGATGAAAACAGAAGTCACAAATAATCCCAAACTAGTTTAGAATTATGAATAATAAAGAGTTATTTATTTAAGGAAAACTTACAGATCACTGTCCTAGAAACAGCCCTCTGCACAAATGGGGAGCAGGAACAGAGTTTAGCAGCTGGAAGCAAGAGCCAGAAGCAAAAGAGAGAGAGAGAGAGAGAGAGAGAGAGAGCGAGAGAGAGAGAGAGAGAGCTCATTCTTAACAGGTGTATTTACAGTGTAAGAGACCATGCCCAAGTGGGCTGGTATCTTAAATGCTATTGGCCTAAGGAGTGGAATGTGCTCCCACAGCAAAACTGTGTCTCCAAAGGGGAACTATGGAGAGATGAACCCTCACTAGTCAGCATGGAAGGTTGTCACGCAAGTCCTCCAAAAAATTTTGAAGTCCTGGCAGCTGTCAAATTAGGACTAATGATAGAGAAAAATAAATCTTACTCTTTCAAACTCCTTTTATAAACATTAATAATTCTTCAAATTTTTAGTTTATTTTTGATATTTTATTTTATTAATTTTAACTATGTGCATTTGTGTGCGTCTGTGTGTGGGTATATGCACATGAGCGCAGGGGTATGTGGAGGACAGGGCCTCAGATCCCCTTGGAGCTGCAGCAGGGGGTCATGAGCCATATGATGTGTGTGTTGGGAACTGAAAGGGGGTCCTTTGCCAAAGCAGTGTGCACTCCTGAGCTGATGATGAGCAGCCTCACCATTCCCTTAGTTTCCTTTTTAAAACCATGTTTGGTTTAATAGACCCTTGCCATCTAACAGTGTGTCTTACCTTCAGCCAGGCCACACTTCCTCCTGGTCATCACTGTGTATTAAGAGGACAATAATTCCCTTGGGATAGGGATGAGGAAGCCGATCTTCCTAAAGCAGTGCTGCAAGGGAGGCTGCATGTTTATGCATGTTCAGGAAGATAGATAGAGAGATTTCAGAAGGATCTAGAAGCTGAATAGTAATCGGTAGACTAGAAATTGACGAGTAAAGTCAGAGATCAATATGGAGAGTGAGGTTTGAGTAGCAACCAGTGTAGCTGTGCCTGTATGTACAAAGTGCAGATGTTAATATCAGGTGGGCATTTCTGCATATAATTTAGAGAAAAAATGAGAAGTAGCTATTATTGCTTGAGAGAGGCTGAAAGTGGTCGAAGATTCACCATTATCCTTGCTGACTACAGGGTTATAACCTTGCTATCTCTATTAGGAAGAGACTGTCTGGGCAGAAGGTGACAAGTTCTCATTTTGTGTAAAGAGATAGCATGGAACAGCCTTATCAAGGAGATAGAGAAGCTAGAAGGAAGGTGAGTGTGTGTAAAGGCCAAGGGAGCTAGATGTGGTCACAACAGTGGAAGTACTGTCCACAGGAGCACTCATACCCTTTGGGAGTAAAAGCCTTCAGGCCAAGCTTACTGTCCCTTGCCCTCCCAAAACAACACGGCCAATAATGGTTTATTAATGCACGCAGGTCTCATGGAATTAAATATAAAACTGAAAATCACACGGGGAAAGACTTGGAAGAGAGAGCCAGAAGAAGGCTGAAACTTCTGCCTAGGGGGAGGCCTTTCTTTATTTATTGATTCCCCAAATATTTCTCCGGTATGCTGAGGGTAGTGGGACTTTCTACTTGGTGGCCTTTCAGCTACTATTCAGAATTTTTGAAACTTTATATGCTTTAGCATCAGCACGTTAAGTAGCCAAAGACATTAAATTCTTTCTTGAAAAAAAAAAGTATGCTAAATGGTTTAGTAGACAAAGCATGAGCATAGTACCAGGCAGAGGGGTGGTGTAGAGACAACTCCAGTATTGGTGCTAGAGTCCTAGGAGTAGTGGTTGAGTAGGTGAGACTTTGGCATTACAACGCGATGGTTTACAAAGTGTGTGACTTTGTGTACTCACCCAGTATCTACCACAGGATGCTGTATGCTTCATAGTGTGTTCTGAAGAAAAACAGTTTAACAGATGATTGCTTGGAGGAAGGCTGGCCTAGAATTAGTTATAAGGAAAAAGCTTGTTCTGGGTGCCATGCTGGCTCTACATGCTCCAGAGATGAGTGGATAAAGATTGAGATGCTGAAGTCACTACTAGAGATCTATGTTGATCAAAGATCTCACAGTGATCTCAATGATAGCCTGTCTGTGGACTATAGATTATGTAACAGGAAGACCACACTCCTGTCTTGAGAGTTAGATGAGACTAATAGTTTGACCAATTGAAATACATATCTCTCTATGCAGATTCAAAATATTACTGATATACAGGGTGAGTGCTTAATTCTAAGGGAACCAGAAGAGACATAAGTTGTGGGGCTCAAACCCAGGTGGTGTACCAGGCTTCCAAATCGAGACACGGAGACTTCTTTTTGGTTAGGAATGCTTAGACTTATCTTAGCTCTTTTTAAAATCTGTTTCTCTTTATCTATGTTTTGTCTTGGGGCTTTTAAATCTTTCTGTATATCTTACTTTCCTGTTGTCTCTATGTCTGTCTGTCTGGCAGCTGCCTAACTTCTGGCCCTGGGCATGTCTCCTACTTTTCCCTCATTCTCTTCTTCTTCTCTTTTTCTTTTTGTTCTTCTCAAGTACAGATTTCTCTTCCACTTGTTCTCTCTGTCTGTCAGCCCTGCCTAATCTTTTCTCCACCTAGCTATTGGCTGTTCAGCTCTTTATTATGACAACCAGGTGCCTTTGGCAGGCAAGGTGCAACAAATGCAACACATTTTTAATCAATTAAACAAATGCAAGATGAACAAATGTAACACATCTTTACATCATTAAGAAAGGTGGCAGAAACAAATGTAATACACTTTTATACAGTTAAAGTAATATTCTACATCATAAGCAAATGTAACACATCTTTGCATAGTTCATTTCCACAGTAAGGATTTATCAACAATCTAAAGTCATATAAAACATTTATATCTTCCCCAGGTTCAAAGGAAAATGGAAATATTAACTTCTTCTTTTATTTTTCTTTCTTTTTATCCCAGGCTGTCCTTGAACTCACTATCCTCCTCAGCTTCCCCATGGTTAAGATTTGAGGTGTGTGCAATTATGTTTTAACAGTGAATTCCAGTGGTTCATTAATATGATTTTTTCATTTAATAATGTATTATCCTAAGTAGGGGCTACCTAAGTTACTAGCATAACTAGAATAACCCGTTCTCTCTTGGCCAGAACCTGAAAATGTCCTTTGGTCTAAAGGCAATTTAGTCCTGGCCAAGAGCCAGAAATAACAATGTTTAGAGGTATTATGGTTTCTGGTTTTATTTCTTTTCTCTTTACATAAGAACTTAATAGTCATGCCTGCATGTATGAGCATGTGACCTAAGACATGGGCGTGGGGAGACATGGATCGCTTGTGGGTGAGACAGTGGGACCACCATCCAGCCTCCCATGTCTCAACTGTGCAAAGCCTGATAAACATCTAGATGGGGCTCTTGAAAGAAACCTGTCACCGGAGCTGGCCTTTCTTCCTTCCTCTTAGGTTCTGGCCTGCAAGAATGCCTTAAGCTGCTTTCTAAGACTCACCTCCCTGTGGTGTGTGACATTCATTCTTTAAGTTCACAAGACAAAGAACCTGAAAGCCAGTAATCTGGGGTGTCTTTGATGACTATTTTTTCTTTTAACTTTGAGATTATAACATAATTACATTCAGATGGTTTTGAAGTTGGATAATGGCTCTTTACTTCTCTAAATCCAAGCTTGTTGTTAAAAGAAACATATCAGGAGCCATCTGGTATGGAATGGAAGAAAGACTTTAGGAAAAATTTTACTTTCCTCATGCTTATTTTGTCTATATCATATTCTTCATTGAATGTATGTTTATATGAATGATGTTTAAGTTTTTCATGATGAACATAGATTTTCCTACAGATCCTTTTCCTGCAGTAATCTTTGAAGTTTCCAGGAAGAAGATGGGGCCCCACAGCAACAACTCCACCTAGTTGAAATGACATCGTGATTCAGACAGTGCTACTATAAGACTGCTTTTTTGGGTATCAGCTGCTGAAATGGTGCGCCTCTCCTTTGGCCAGAATTCCAAATGAGAACTTTGAAAAACAAAACAAAACAAAACAATCCTATTGACTGCTCAGAAATTGTTTGCAACTATACTAGACAGTAATTTTGGAACTTAACCACCACTTAATTTTTGCAGAATCTCATTAAGAGAACATCACCCCCATGACAGTGGGAAACAATTCTAGAAGACGACGCCCCCATTCCAAAAATTTGTCCACAGGGTTGGGAACACTGTTTATGGGTTGTTGATTATTACTTGTACTAGATAGAGGGTTGGGGTGAAAACTATGTTTGTTTGACTACAGGGTAAGGTCAGTTCAGATACCTTCTCCTCTATTGTTTAGGGTCTCAGTTGGGTTCATCCCTGTGGGCTCTTGGGCATTTTTCTAGAGCCAGGTTTCTTGCTAACCCCATAATGGCTCCCTCAATCAAGATATCTCTTTCCGTGCTCTCATATCTGTCCTCCCTCCATCTCAACCATTCCATTCCCTCAAGTTCTCCTCAAACCCCCTTCTCCCCCCCACTCCTCGCCCCCCTGCCCCCAAATTTTTGTCTGATTCCAATTTCTAGGTGGGTCTATATATGTTTTCCTTTGGGTTCACCTTATTAGTTTCTCTAGAATCCTGAACTATAGGCTCGTTGCCCTTTGTTTATGACTAGTATCCACTTATGAGTGAGTACATGCCATATTTGTTTTTTGGGGTCTGGGTTACCTCACTCAGGATGATGTTTTCTAATTCTGTCAGACTGATGATTATCTTAAATATCACCTTAGAATCTTCATCCAACAACAGATGGGAACCGAGGCAATGACCCACATGGGAACACTGGAGTGAGTTCCCAAGATCCAGCTGAAGAGTGAAGAAGAGTAAGAGCAAGGAAGTCAAGACCATGAGGGGGTCACCCACTGAGGCAGTGTGCTTGAGCCAATGGGAGCTCACCAACTCCAACTGGACTGGGAGTGAACGAGCATGGGAACAACCAAGCCCCTCTGAAGGGGGTTGACAGCTGGGGCAGACTGAGGGGCCACTGATAGTGACACTGGGATGTGTCTCTACTTGCATGTACCGGCTTCTTGGGATCATATTCTCTTTGGATGTAAACCTTGCTCAACCTAGACATAGTAGGGAGGGCCTTGGACTTTCCACAGGGTGGGATGCATGGCACTCCATTAGGGAAGAGGGAAGGGAGTGGGAATTTGGATTGGCAATTTTTAAGTAATAAAAAAAAGAAAAAAAAGACTATGTTAAAAAAGGGGGGAGATAGTAATAGTGGGTAATAGAGTGAATACTTGTGTGAGATATTATTTATGAATAATTTACATTGGCATAGTTTTTGTATATTGATACAAGTTCAAATTATATCTGTTACCCTATGCAAATTTATTTTGTCAGATTATATATATGCATGTTTCTCCCTTGGTTTAGGACATTTTGTATATTGATACAACTTTTAGAATATATTTTCATACTGAATTATATATTTATTACTCCTGCCTCTGATCAAAATACTTATAGATTGCTTGCATTTTGAGGTCCTTGTCCTCATTTGTTGCACATTTATTTACAGATTATTTAATATTCTGACATGAAGTTTTAGTCTTTAAGTTATATAGGTGTTAATTATTATAGGTCAATAGTTCATGTTTATTGTACATACAATCAGATCAATTAGGTTCTTTAGATATATAGAGATTGTATTATGTCTAGATAGGGGATCTTTAACCAGATCTTCAAGGATCTGTAGAACGTGGCATTTAAATAACTTTGGATTTTGCTGACATGACATATAATTACTTCTGACAGCACCAATCTATTCCTGAGAGAATGTTAAACACTGAAGACACTCTACTTGGAGCTTGTTTTCTTCTTGGCAAAACTGGTCTTTGGGCAAGGAACTGACAATGCCCAACCACTGACAAGTTACATAGTATCCGGAAATGGATAAGCAGGACTGTCAAATCTTGCCAAGACAGGGTAAGACAGGTTTGAAAATTTTTCTGCCTCTGAAAATGGTCTTAAGCCAAAGTTGGTTGCTTCAACGTTTCAAAATGAGACTTTGGGTGATTGCTCAAGTAGTTTATTGTCTCTGTCATATATTGCTTGCTTTGGAAGTTTCTTGATTGTACTTCCTGCCTGCTCAAGTAATATTATCTCCCTTCTCAGGCCTTTTTGATGGGGTTGAAGATTAGTCATAGTTACTGTATTCTTATGATCTAGCTAAGCAATTTCCTTTACAAGACTTAGACTCCAAGGTTAGAATGTTTATTAAAACATTTAGCGCATGTTTCTTACTTAATATTGTTTATGCTGGTTGTAATTCTAATTATACTTGATATCTATTCCTAATGTATATAGTTTTGTATTGGCTTTGGAACTCTCTTATTTAAACAAAAAGGGGAGGTGCTATGGAAGCATATTCTGCTCCCTCAGCCAATAGCCTGTAAGATACCAGCACATTTGGGTATGGTCTCTTTTGCTTTAAAAAGCAGTGGTAGCTGTGCACTCACTCTCTTGTTTCTGGCTCCCACTTTTGGCTACTAGACTTTGTTCTTGGTCGCGCCGAGGGCTGTGTCTAGGACAGTGATCTGTAAGTTTTCCCCTTAAATAAATAACCCTTTTATTAATTATAAATACAAACTAGTGTGGGATTGTTTTGTGACTTACACCTTCAAAATTAGACTTGGAATTCTTTTTTTTTTTTTCCCTTTGGTGGAAGGAAACAGGCAGGGATGGTGTTGGTGGGGGGTGGACCTGAGAAGACCAGGAGGTGAATGTGCATAGGGTACATTATGTGAAACTCCCAAATAATCAACAAAGATACTATGTTGGGAAAAGAAGGTAACCCTATCCCTACAGAAGCTGGCTCACTGCCTGTATGACTAGGCACGCCAAATCTCAGTTTCATTTCCTAAGCAGGAAGCTGCAAGCTGTGGAAAAATTTCTCTTTCCACTTACTGCCTGCTTGTTTGCTGAGGAAGAAGCAGCCCTTGGCCCTTTCCTCTGTGCAGATTCTCCATACAGGTATGTATTGCGGTTTTCCGCTTACCTTAATGCTGGCAGGCAAGACTATTTACAATTTTTGAAAACGATTATTTAAATGAATACTTTGGTAATGATTTTCTTGCTATGTGTTTACCTCATGTTCTTTAATTTCTAGTGTCCTGTGAGAAAATAAGAGTGAATGAGAGCTTGTGTGCATGTGCCTGACTTTTCAGTGTTTACCGAGGGCTGTGTTGGTTTTACTTCTAGGCTGTGAGCATGGCTATGAGAACTCATTTGACATGGCTGCAAGAAAAGTGCCTGCAGAATTACTTTGGAGGGAAACAGTTTTGTCTTCTTTATAAGGCGAGTGTGCAGAACTTCCGTCATCAGAGTTTACTCTGGACATGTTGGGAACACGGTCCTACCATGCTTGTGCTTTATAGTAAAGACAGTGAAGACTGTGTTGTTGGTGCCTACCTGGAGAAGGGCTTCCAGAAAGAAACCATTTCTATCACTCTTTTTGCTCTCCGAGAGACTGAAGTTTCAGAATGCACAATAGGACCATATTTGCCATCTTTATTGTTCTTTGATACAGAGACTTTTGATTGTATTCCTGATTTCTGTATAGTGTTAGGTGAGGAGAAAAGATTGACTCTAAGTTCAGAAACACTTGAAAAGCTCGGACTGCCTCTTCGATATTCTACCATGTCTATTCAGGAGTGTGAAGTTTTTCGATGTGAAGGTAGGTATGTTTGCTCAGACAAGCCTATGGGGTTTCTCTTGAATGTTTAGAGGGTTCTAGATGACATATCCCTGCAGAGAAGATAGTTTTGCATTTGGGCTCTTAAATCTGGAGAGATGACCCACACTGAAACCTGGCCAGAAATTGCTAAAATCTAATCATGAAATGAGACCACTTAACAAAAGACCTACCCTTTTGCCAAAAATTTTAATTCCACTGTCTAGTGCTGCAGCTGTAAGGATTATGTCTTGCACGAAGTATCTAGAACTTATTGTCTTGGGTCATGGAATCTTTAACCTTTACCGTAACTCCTCCCCCATTGTCTGTAGCCATTAGTTTGTTCTTGTGAGTTTGGTTGTGTTATATCCTCCTAACACTGTGATCACGTACACTTGCTTTCCTTGATTAGGGTAGGAGTTTATTAGTTCTCTTCATTTTAAATGAATCAACTGCTACATTACTTTGCACTTGTTTAAGTTTTACAACTTATATTCATTATTTTACTGATTACTTTTTATTTTCTTAAGAGTTTCTACATTTTTTTGTTTCCACTTTCAAATATTCCTTATTTCTTGTCATATTTCTTGGCAAAACTCAGTCTTACCACAAAGCTTCTGTAAGATGTTTCAGAGTAAATTTGCACATAATTGTAGTTTTAAGTTTCTATTCAGCTACAGAAGCTATTTCAGAGAGTGCTTTATAAAAATTTTTAAAGTTTACTTTTATTTTTGTACAGTTTTTGTTCTTTCAAGCTTAATTATATTTTTGTCATTGAATGAAATCTTTACAATTTCTGCTTTAGGTAACTTAATGGTATTTACATTGCTGTTCTACATATAACTCAATAGTGAGAGTTATTAAAGAGTTAATGGCATTGTTAGACTACTGGTTTCAGTTTTAAACCCACCTCCACCCAAATTTTTTTTCTTAAAGAATAAAAAAGCATCTCTGAACCCAAGACACGCTGGTCTGTTTATAGTTCTCCACACATTGCCAGACCTTGGAGTAGCCAGATTTTATTTTTATCTTCCCTTTTGAGCCAGGAATGCACTGATAAAATGGAAGCTCCTATTAACAGCTAGCTTTAACAGAAACTTGTATTTAAAAATGACTTTCCTGTATCTCTACACATTGTATCTTTCATACCTATTACCAATCTTGGGGAGAATATTTATTAATAATCAATTCCTTGGTTTGCCTATATGTCTATGTTCTGCTTTTGTAACTCAGAAGACACACTCCTAGTACCAATTCCTGTTCAAGCAAAGAGGTCTGCAATACTACCAAGTAGGGGGAGAGTTCATGTGTACACACTCCTCCTGAACTCTTGGGTTTCCAAAAGGGGTAACACAAATTTCCTCCCCTTGCTTTTTCCTCTGAAAAGACTACTTACATATTTGTATCTAGTGAACTTGCTCACATTTATTTGACCAGCTGATCATTTAAGAATTTGTAATCTCTATTATTTCTCACTTTCCTTAGAGTTATTGGATGAGAGAAAGACAAGAGACTTTGATTTGTAAGTCAATATCTTTTAACATCTTATTACTTCATTATTACTTTTTATTATAATAATGTATGCCAACAAAACTGATGACACAAATTATTACAACTAATATGTAGACCATTAAAGAATAACCAAAACCCATAACTATAATCATCAAACAATTGATCTTAGTAATATTAAAAGAACAGTGAGTAGGAGGGGACTATTTTTAATGCTATATACTTAAGGGGAAATAATTTTGCTTATATTGTGTTTTTGAACTCTTATAGCAATTTTTTTCTTTAGCATGTCCTGAGGATGATTATCAAGCTGAGAACATCTGCTAATGAGTTTTGAGAACATGTTTTAAATGGTCTAATTCAACTTCAAATACATATAATTACTTTTCAAGTTTATCATTGTTAATTTTCACATTTGGCATGGCTGATATTTATTACTAATTTTTCAAGGTGAAGTAACGTAAGTGAACAGCTGATTAGCTTTAGTTGCAAGTGTTACTTTTATTTTTATTTATTTTGCAGTATCACTCAAGTTAGGATAGTGTATTAGCTATGTTTCAGTTGTTACAACAAAATACCACAACCAAAGCGACTCAAGGAACAAAGGGTTTGCTTCAACTTACAGTTCTAGAGGGATAGAGACCACCATGGAAGGGGAGGCATGGCAACAGTCACATTAAGCATGTCAGCAGACCAGGAAACTGGCTGACAACATTTTCATGCACACACAGGAAATGCAGAAAGAATAAGAAGTGGGTGAGGTTATAAGCCATCAAAGCTTGCCTTCATTGACATACTTCTTTCAGCAAGGTTTCACCTCCTGAAGGTTCCATAATATTTCCAAAGACCAACATAAGAAAGAGTGTACAGATACATACAAGCTTAAGAGAGACATTCTCATACAAACCACCATATTCAGCAGTCTTGGGTGTTCATGGAAGAAGGCAGGCTGCTAGTTAGAAACAATACAAGGAAGATAAGTGAATTCTCGGAAGATATATCACCATATCATAGATCATGTGAACTGACCAGTCAATTCTTAAAATTTGTGGAGTTTTAATAGGTTGCAGAATAGTTTATTGCATGCCCTGAGAACCTATCAGCCATATGGAGACCTGGTTCCCCAAGCACGGATTCTGCTGCTGGGTCCTATTGGAGCTGGAAAGTCTAGCTTTGTCAACTCAGTCAAGTCCATTTTCAAAGGCAGCATCACACACCAGGCCATGGTGGGCTGTGACAGAAATGGGATATCTGATAACGTAAGTATATTTTAGGTTACCCAGGTTTCTTTGGTTCAAGTTAACTGTATTGGAAAAACGTGTTGACAATCAACTTCACATAGGCTTTATTTAAATTGATTACAAAAGAAGTGTCCTTTTCATGTTATTGTTCTTCACTTTTCAGTATAGGACATATTCCATCAAATACAGGGGTGATGATAGCCCCCTGCCATTTGTTCTGTGTGACTCTCTGGGACTGAGCCAGAATGCTGGCTTGCACACAGATGATCTAGCCAGCATCTTAACTGGCCACACTCCTGACAGATACCAGGTAAGCTTTGACTGATGGTTAAAAATCATGGACTGATTTTTAAAATGTCTTTTTTTTTTTGCCCACCATCCACTCTATATTCTGGGTGACAGTGCTGCGTCGGCACTTTAAACCGCCCTTGTTCAAATTCCTTTGTTCCTTTTTTTTTTTTTTTGGTAGAAATTTCACAAAGAACTTAGAAAATCCAGAGGATTCTTCTGTTGTATCTATCATAACAGTCATCATTTGTTTAGTCTGTTTTCTGCGAAACAGACATCCATATCTATATGAATTTTATAAGTAACCACTTTTGCTAGCAGGAAATCTGAAGACAGACATTGGGAATGTGAGAGCTTTTATGGAGGTGTTAATTCCAGAAGTTTCCCTTTTTTGGGTGCCACAGCAGGGCACTGTCTTAGTCAGAGTGACTATTGTTTTGATGAAGCACCATGACCAAAAGTAAGTTGGGGAGGAAAAGGTTTATTTAGTTCATGCTTTCCCATCACAGTTCGTTCTCAGAGGAAGCCAGCACAGGAACTCAAACAGGGCAGGATCTTGGAGGCAAGAGCTGATGCAGAGGCCATGGAGGGTGCTGCTTACTGGCTCGCTCCCCATAGCTTACTCAGCCTGCTTTCTTATAGACCCTAGGGCCACCAGCCCAGGGATGGCATCCCCCGCAATGAGCTGGATTATCCCCTATGATCATAAATTATGAAAATACCCTACAGCTGGATCTTATGGAGGCATTTTCTCCTTTCGAGCTCCCTCCTCTCTGAAGACTCTGGCTTGTGTCAAGTTGACATAAAACCAGCCAGTACAGGCACTAGGTGCTGAATCTTCATTTCCCATAATGTTTCGTATGCTGACGTCCCAGGTATCAATGTGATGGCTTTAGTATGTGGATGCTTTGGGGGTATAAGTGGAGACTTTTCTTTCGTTCCTGGCTACTGAGACCCGAATAATCTCACAAAAACTATATTAATTACAGCACTGCTTGGCCAATGGTTCAGGCATAATCCTATCTAGTTCTTACATCTTAAATTAGCCCATTTCTGTCATTTTATGTTTTACCACAAGGCTCATGATTTGTTACTTCTTGCTTTTTGGGTGGCTACATGACATCTGCCTGACTCCACCTTTTTTCCTTCTCTATCTCTGCTTGGATTTTTTTACCTTGCTATATTCTGTTGATGACTCCAACTTCCTGAGTGTTCTGACCTAGGTCATCACACACGTGGTTTCTTTTGTCTAGAGCATTTCCTGACACAGCCTTCTTCACTTCCTTGAGAAGAAGTTTCTTATTATAGCTCCCACATTATGTATCCCTTGATCACAGAGACATCATCAGGCTGTGTAAAAGAACTGCTAGCCCCTTACACAATTATTGCCTTCCCCAACTTATGGTTAGCCTCCTAATAAACAGATATCTGCACATTTTGTTCAGATGCACAGGACTGGAGTATAGTTTGTGAGTAAATGCACTCTGTGTGATGATTCCAACTTCCTTTCTGAATACTCTGACATCTGTCTTCTTATCTACTTTACAGTTCAATTCCAAGAAACCAATCACCCCAGACCATCCAAACTACATTCATGACCCACTGCTGAAGGACAGAATTCATTGTGTGGTGCTTGTATTTGATATCAGTTCTGTTGAACATCTCTCCTATGGAATGGTGGCAAAGATAAAAAGGATTAGAAAAATGTTGATAAAATGTGGTGAGTGTCATTTCATTTTTCAACTGAAAGTAACTGACTAGACTTTACAGCAGAAATTTGGGGACTGAGTAAAAAGGCTGTAGTGATTGCAAATGTGAGTCTTTCTGAAAACTCATCAGAATGGTTACATCCAGTTGACATCTCGACAGCTGCATGACTATGCACATGTGATTTAAACTCAGTTTCCCTCAACATCTTAAAATTGCTAAAGTGATAGAACTCCCCTCTGACTATTTTGTTCATAAATATTACACAAGTTGAAGAGTAGTCAACCCAACTACACACTGCCTTCATATTTTGTCATGTAGTTTTTAACCAAGTGCTATATATATTTTTTTGCCTCTTGAAGTATTAGAAAATAAAAAAAAATTCTACTAAGAAAAAGCAGACATATAAAATGCCCGGTAGAGAGAGGCAGCAGGAAGGCAGAAGGTGAATACAAGCTGGTGGTTCTGGTGCCCAGTTTTGGCATTTCTTGGTTTTATCCATTGGATTGGGGAAGGACCTTTCAAAAATTTGACTAAGAAGCAAAATGATTGACTTACCCGCCCACTGAAATTGAAATGTTTTAAAATTTTGTTCAGGGATCTTTTTGTCAACACTGTGAAGCAGGCCTTATTCATGAGGCCATGGTGGTTTCCTCTCTCTTGGAGAGCCTTCCCTCATCTTCTCTGCTGTTTTCTCAAGTCTCCATTAAGACACCATGTTTAGCACTGAGTAGCAACATTGGCAATAATATGGGGTAAACTTTAGTAACTTCTTCTAAGAAGTAGTCTTTTGTGAAGCTTCACTTCTTAGCTTGGAACAAAGGGGAAATATGCAAAAGAAATTCCAGTGGATGTTGTGTGTGTGAGAGGTGGAGGGGGCACTGGAAGTACAGAGCTCCCTAAATCAAGAGGTGCTCCATTGCTTGCCTACAGCAAAACTGATAATTTACTAATCAGAAATGATGTTGATATCCGTAAGAATAAAACCCTATGTATTTCTTTGACGCAGGCTTTCTGCACGTGGTTTTGCTTACGCACGTGGATCGCCTGGAGCTGATTTCAAAAGGAAACCTGATAGATATATATAACTGTGAGCCTGTAAAGCTCAAGGTAATGAACGAACATTCTCTGAGGAATGTCTTTGATGTACATAGATTGTCAACTTTATAAAGAACAATAGATAACGAATAAACTGAAGAAGAGTTAAAATAATTGCTATAATGGTTAGGACACATATCCCAGGCTTAGAAGATTTAATATCCAGAAGATTGAATATCTGTGTTTAACTTTATGTTTCATTACATTTGCCACAATTATTTAATTAAACAAATATGCAGTGATTTCTTTATAATCAAACCAATACTATAGCCTCTAATCTGACACACAAATGGCAAAATACTAATTACTGTAATAAAAGCTTATAATTTTATAGATAAAAATGAAAGAATAGGGAAGCAGAAAAAGAAAATGTAGACAGAGGTATATGACATGATTACATATGATAAATATGTAAGAAAATGGTGATGATAATATGTCTTGGTGGCTTGAAGGAGAAAAATGTCACAGGTGATTATTTCCCTACAAAGGTGACACTAAGAGGTAGTGTTTAAGTATTCTGGTAAGAGAAGAGACAAAAACAAGAAAATAATTTAAGCAAGGGAAGTATAAGTCAATGTATTAGAGAGCAAAAAGGTAGAATGTCTGAGATACATGGATTTCTCCAATGCAGAAGCCAATGGTGGTGACACTTATTTTTATGATTTTACATCTTAGTGAATCCTAGATGTTAGAAAGCCTCTATATATTCAGTGTCAAGATTTCTGTAAATTAACATAACTACAGAATAGATTGGAGGCAGAATGAAGCAGACGTGGGAGTGCTATAGTTTTTTTCTTGTTCAGTCATGGTAACAGTCCTAGGAGATAGGTACACTTAGCACTGCGTTTAGATGAGGAAACAGAATGAACCAGAAGCAAGCCTTTGCCAGTGTTTATCCAGAGTGCTAAGAAATGACAGAGCTGTCTTGACAGCCTAGGTGATCTATGTTCAGGATGAGGGAGTCTAAGCAAGAATTAAATGTTAAACCTGTCTAATAAAGTTGATTTATCCTGGATATGCTTGGGTATACCTGGAATTTGTGGACATTAGCCCATGTATGTTAAAATCGCTTCAGTTTTTTTTTTTTTTTTTTTTTTTTTTAGTGATCCCTGTAGAACAGGGAGTTGCCATTCATTTTGTTTGCTTGTTTATTTGTTTTGAATCACTGTCTTCCTTTGGCATTCTATATAGGTGCAGAGATCACTTAAAACCATCTAACCTCACATTCCCTGCGCAGGTCAAAATATACTTCACTTCTTCACCAGTGTTCACTGTTTGTTCTCATATTGATGACCTTTGTTCTGTGGAGCTCCCTTCTCTCTTGGCAATGTTTCCTTAACAGTGCTCCCAGGAATCCACCATCCTTCTTATTCCCCTCTCTCCTTCTCTCCCTCCTTCCTCCTCTTTCTCCTTTACCTCAAGTTTTGCCCCACTTTCCTCCCCATTCTATTACTTCTTTCCGTATTTTTGACCATATTTTTCCTTCCTCCAGTTTGTCCCAGTTACTCCCTTACCTCCATACCCACTCAACTTTTATGTTCTCTCACCACAACAGCAAATAATAATAATAATAATAACAAAACTGAAAGAGCCACAAAACGAAACCAAACAAAGCAAATATGAATGATGATAATAAAGAAAAAATATCCCACAAAACAAAAATCAAAACCAACAAGCCAAAACAAAACAAAATCCCCACAAACAAAAAGCCATGACGTTCATTTTGTGTTGGCCAGCTGCTCCTGGCTAGGCGGCCTGTCTTGAAGTTAATATGCAAAGTGGTACTCCATTTGAGAAAACTGGTTTTCCTTTTGCCATTGGGTATCAATTCCAGGTAGCTCCTTGGTTAGGGCCAGAAGCCTGTGCTCACTTCCCCCTCTCAATGCTGGGATCCTCTCTGGTTTGAACTGTGGTAAACCTTATGCATTCTGCCACATTTTCTGTGAGTTCATGTGTCAAGTCCTGTTGGGTCTAGAAGACACAGTATTACTGTAGTCATGTATCACTCTGGCTCTTGGTTTAGAAGTGCATTTTAAAAACTGGGTTGCTTATTTTTTATGTCCAGACATTTTTTGTTGTTCTTTCTTCTATTTTTTTTCAGATGTATAATTGTCAAAGATCTTTTTCTATTTGGTAGGCTGATGGTTTGCCCAAATGATGGTGTTTGCCATACAGAAGCTTTTTAATTTCAGGAGGTACATTTATGAGTTGTTGGTCTTTGTACCCATGCTAACTGTGTTCTGTTCAGAAAGTCTTCTGTGCCAATGAGTTCAAGGCTGTGTCCCACTTTCTCTCCTATTAGATTCAGTGTGTCTGGTATTAAATTGATGCATAAAACTCCATTTAGAGATGAGGTTTGTTTTTGCAGGGTGGTAACTATGTATCTATATTTTACTCTTCTACATGAGCCACCCAGTTTGACAAGCACCATTTGCTGAAGATATTTTTTTTCCAGAGTGTATTTCTAGCCTTTTTAAAAAAAATCAATAATCAGGTGTCTATAGGTATGTGAGTTTACATCTGGGTCTTCAGTTAGATTCCATAGATTCGCATGTCTGTTCTTATGCCAATACCATGCTGATTTTATTACTGTAGCTCAGTATGCAACTTCAAATCTGGTATGGTGATGCCCTCTCCAGTCCTTCAGCCCTTTTATTATTCAGGCTTGTTTTTGTCCTCTTGGTTTGCTTTTTAAATTTTTTTTTGTATGTGTGTCTCTATATTGTTATAGATGTTTTCTTACTTTCTGTGAATAATTATGTTGGACTTTTGATGGGAATTGCATTGAATCTGTAGTTTGGTTTTGGTACGATGGCCATTTTAACAATATTAATCCTAATGATCCATGAGCATGCCATTTTTTTTAAATCATGTCTAATATATTAGTACATTTTAAATAAATTTTAAAATAACAGTGATATTGGAACTTGATGTGAAGTTGCTCATGAAAGTACTGCAGAGGATCTGGTCTTTGTTTTAAAAAAAATATAGGACGATGATCACCAAGCTCTTACTTATTATTACTTCTCTGATAATTTATGTTCAAATTAGACTTTTTACTGCTTTGAGACACCATGAGGTTGTGTGTATGTGTCTGTGCCTGAATGTGTATGTGTGTTCATGCTCGTATGTGTATAATCACATATGTGTATGGAAGTTAGGTGTCTTCTGAACTGAGCTCCACTTTACTTTCTGACTCACTGAACTTGTAGCACATATTGGCAGGACCGGTAGACCAGCAAGCCCCTGGGATCCTCCTGTCTCTTCTCTAGGACTGACATTTGTTTTACTCTATGTTCTCATAATTGAACATTTTGTTCTTATTTTTACACAGTTCTGGGTTTTACATTTTCTGTTTCAGCTAGAAGCATTCCATAGAGACTTTGGTTTTGCCTTTTCTGACATCTTGGTGGTTAGTAATTATGTCTCAGAGTGGGATTTGGACCCTGTGAAGGGCAGGCTAATCCTCTTGGCACTGAGGCATATCCTGTATACTGCCAATGACTTCTTAGAAGACTTGCCTTTGGATGAACAGGTAAGCTGGTGATCTCAGAAACTGGCTAATTCTTGTTTGGGTCTGCTGTCTACCTGGTAGGTCTGTCTCTGGGTTATTGGCATATCAGTAGCCATGACCTTTAACTCACTGGCTGAATATATTTTTCTCTGCACATTTCCTTCCTTCCTTCCTCCTCCAATCTGTCTTGGAGAATCTGTATAACTTCACTCTTGTTTTAAAAAGAAATTATGAAGTGATACATCTCTTTTACTGGCTGAAAATACTGCGCTCACCTGTGTCCTCTTCTTTCACTCTGGGCTTCTTTGCTTGGGATCTATAACTGGATTGGATCAACAGTGTCTCTTATCAGATGTGATTTTAGAGGATCTGTCTCTTCCTTAGGACCAAATGAATCAGATACACACACACACTATATATATATATATACATATATATATAAAATTATATATATATATAATATCTAAAGATCTAGGAACCAAAAATGTGAAAGCATATTGTCTTTTGAGACTGGCACAACTTGCTCAATAGATTATCTTTAGTTGCATACATTTTCCTGGGAATAACCAGCTTTTTACTTTGAGTTGAAAGAAATTCCACTGTCTGTAAATCGCACGTTATCTGTATCCATTTCTCCAATATTGTACACCTAGCTGGCTTCCATTCTTAGCTATTTTAAATAATGCTATAGTATACAAGTGTGAAATTATTTTGTGATAATTTTAGCTTGACTTTTTTTTTATCTCCTCCACCTCACTTATTTGTTTCATTTTGCTTGATTCCTCATAAGGTGAATATTTATCATTTGTGATTATGGGCTCAGCTTGTCCTTCAGTATGTTCTCTTATCAACCTGTGCTAGACTGCCATGTGCTATACTGTTACCATTAGAGATTAAATGGGAACTTTGATTCAATTTATTCAAATCTTATTTTTATCACATTAGAGTACTATATCCTCCTCTGAAAGAACTGGGCAAGTCTCACACTGCTAGCTTTCTGTCTGACTCAGTCACTTTGGTTTCTTCGTTCTCCTTCTTGTGGTGTGCAGGCTCCTAGCCAGGAAGAGATTAGCTCTATAGCAACCTTCTGGTTGCTTCTCTCTATAATCCCACTAAGAACATATTATTTCTCTTTTCTTAGAAATCAGAAGGGAAATGTTCCCGTGTGTGTGAACAGAAGAAGAAATAAGAGAATTAATGATATAGCAGCGATTAACTCATCAATAGAACGAACACTGGGAAAGCAGGGAAGAAGGACCTGGGACCAGAATGTGTGTTAACTATGCCAAGATCAAGTACAAGTGTAAAATAACAGTGTCTTTGATAAACAGAAAAACAAGATAAAAGTAAATGTTTATAAAAATCAACCATAATTCCTGTTTATATGCTGTATCTATGAAAAATAAAATAGTTTCTTGTTGTAAAACCCAAATCTAACTCAAGTATGTGTCATTCATTTTCAAATTCTATTTTGTGACTATGAGTGGAAAAACTCAACCTGGACAACATTAATAAAAAGAGGACTGTAACAGAGACTTAGGGTAGAAAAAAAATCAATCAAATGATTCCTAATGATATTCTATACTCAAAGATTATTGCCTAGCCCAACTGCCATCTGAGAGGATTCCTCATGTTGCTGATGGAAACAGATGCAAAGACATACATCCAACATTATGTAGAGAAAGAGCCCATATTCAAGATCCCCACTGCCCCTCCCCCCCCCAGAGCTTGCGGAACCCTGCAGAAGAAGGGGAGGGAGAATTGTAGGAATCAGAGGGATTGAACACACCAGGAGAACATGGCCCACCGAATCAGCTAAGCAGGGTCCAGAGAGGCTCATTGAGATTAAAGGGGCAAAGCAATCACAGAGCCTGCATGGGTCTATCCTGAATGGTCCATTTTTATGTTGTTGTTGTTAGTTTGGTGTTTTGTGAGACTCCTAAGAGTGTAAGTGGGGATGTCTCAGACTGTTTTGTCTGCTCCTGGGACCTTTTCCCTCCTACTGGGTTGCCTTGTGCAGCCCTGATACAAGGGTCTGTGTCTAGTTCTATTGCAGCTTGTCATGCCATGTTCCGTTGACATCCCTTGGAGACCTGTTCTTTTCTGAAGGAAAATGAAGGAGGAGTGAATTTGGGGAAAAGAGGAGGTGGGGGAACACAGGGAGGAGTAAATAGAAGGGAAACCGTGAAGTGCATGTATTGTGCTATAAAACAATAAATAAGGAAGAAAAACAAAAACAAAAAAAGAAACTTGATGAACTAGCACACTGAATTTTGTTAAGAATTGCTATCTAAGAAACCACTCTGAAATTTGGTAGCTTAAGTTAGAAGCCATTGTTATGTAAGTTTGAGATTGGTTGTAGGTTTCTTGACCCAACATAGGCCCAATATAGGTCTCCTATTTAGGCTGTGTCTATAGTGACTGTGCCATTCTGTATGTATACATTCTGAAATAGGGTTGAAGAGACAGTAGGCTCCTAAGAAATTCTTTTCTTGCCGAATTACAAGGAGCTACAGAGAAATGTTCATAGTTCCTCAAATCCTAGGCTTACCACAAACAAAATATCATTTTTGTTGGCCTGCTATAGACAAAAGCAAGTCATATGGTGAAACCCAAACCAAGAGTCTGAAAAGTTCAATATATTCTAAATGAAGTCACAATGAATGTGAGAGTATGTAGGAAAACAGGGTTATCAATAGTCGAATTATGTGTCTATTATACCCACATGTGCATGAGTGAGCATATATACATACTTGCTAGATTATAGGTTTATGCATGTGTGTGTGTGATGGCAGATTGTGCACTTCCTTTCTTATTCTTTGTTTTCCATTTCAATATCAAAGAAAATTTAGCCATAATTTACTTTCTCAGAGGAAAAAATAACTCATATTTTTGATGTAATATTATTGTAAGATGTTACATTTGTTTATGATGTGGAATATTTGTTTAATGATGAAAGGATATTTTTTATTGTTTTACATTGCATTTGTTTAACTCTGCAAAGCTTTTAAAAAAAATTTTACTTTTTTTTTCTTTGCCTGCCTAAAACACCTGATTGGTCTGATAAAGAGCTGAACAGCCAATAGCTGGGAATGTGAGGGAGTGAGAGATTGTCACTCAGAGAGAATAAATTGAAGGGAGAGAATGTGACAGGGAGGAAAGGGGGAGAAGAGGACAATGGGGGCCAGCTGCCCAGCCACACAGCCATCTACCTGAGTAAGAAGTAAAGAAATAAGTAAAGCTAAGGCTGGGCATTCATAAGTAAGACTAAGCCTCAGTGTATTTATTTGGGAGCTGTGTGGCAGGCCCCCAAGAAGCAAATAGTAAAAAACCCAACTTTGTGGTGATATTTTGTTTCCTATCTAACATATAAAGCTTGCCTGAAGATCAGAATGTGGAGCTAGCCACACTAATTAGCCATATAGGCCAGGCATTGGTGGTACACTCCTTTAATCCAAGCACTCCGAAGAAAGAGGCCAATGGATCTCTGTGAATTCAAGGCCTCTTTCTCCTGTGTGGAGAGAGGAATATAAGGTAGGAGGATGTAGGAGAGATGTCATTTAGCCTAAAAATTCATGGAGACAGGATCTTGCCCACTTTGGTGTGAGGACTCAGTAGAGGAAAAAGGTCTGTTTAGTGGTTGACTCCTTTAGTTCTCTGATCTTTCAGCATTTACCCTGATATCTGACTCTGGGTTTTTATTATGAAGACAAATTAGAATTCATGCTACACAACTATCCATTTTCTATACTTCCTCAAAGGTATCTTGTATACTTTTCATTCTAATAGGCTCTAACAAGATAAGGCTTATGCTCAATCATTATTTAAATTAAGTTAATTCATTATACTGTCCAAGTTGCTTCCTCACCAGCAAAGAAAGCCAACAGAGAAAGGAATTCTGGGATTAAAAGGAATTCTGAGGTTGCATTTAACTCCTTGTTGAGGGAAAATTTGGGCTGATGTCACAGTTGACATACAATGGATAGTACAGAATGTCTACACTGTCTTAGCATATATATACTATGTCTTTTCCAGCCCTTGGTAACAAGAAGGATGATGTGGGATACCCCTCTGTATACTGTGATTACCATTAATGAAGAAAGAGACTGCTTTGGACCTATAGCAGGGCAGAACTTAGGTAGGCGGGGAAGATGGAACTGAATGCTGGGAGGAAGGAGGCAGAGTCAGAGAGAAGCCATGTAGCCTCACCGGAGACAGATGCTGGAACTTTAGGTGGTAAGCCACAGCCACATGGTGATACACAGATTAAAAAAAATTGCTTTTGGTAGGATATTACATTTTACTATGTTAAATCTAATGATCCATGAGCATGGGAGATCTTTCCATCTTCTGAAATATTCTTTAATTTTTTTCTTCAAAGACTTGAAGGTTTTTTTTTAATCATACGAGTACTTGCTTGGTTAGAGTTACCCCAAGATATTTTATATTATTTGAGGCTATTGTGAAAGCCTCAAATTTTCCTATTTTTTTCAGTATGTTTGTCATTGTGTATAAGAGGGATACTGATTTTTTTGAGTTAATCTTATATCTAGATTCTTTTCTGTTTGAATTTTGGGGGGTCACTTAGGTATAGTATCATATCATCTGCAAATAACAGTACTTAGACTTCTTCCTTTCCAACTTTTATCCCCTTGATCATGTTTGGTTGTCTATTCATTTTCACGTGTCTATTCATTTTCCTTGAAATCTAGAAAGTTTTTAATTAATTTATTTATTTTATTCAGTAGAGAGATTTTCAGTTTCCATGGGTTTGCAAGCTTTCTATTATTTCTGTTGTTGATATCTGGCTTTAACTGGTGGTGATCTGATAGGATTCAGGCAGTTGTTTCAATTTTCTTCTTTCTCCTGAGACTTGCTTTGTGTCTGAGTACATGCTCAGTTTTGGAGAAAGTTCTATAAGGTATTGAGAAGAAGGCATAGTCTCCTGTGTTTGGGTGGAATTTACTGTAAGTATCTGTTAGGTCCATTTGGTTTAGAGTGTCTTTTAGCACCAGTGTTTCCTGCTTAGTTTTTATCTGGATGACCTGTCCAGACAAATTTTCACTCGAAAGTGGAGGTATTGAAGTCCTCCCCTAACAATGTGTGAGAGCCGATATGTGATTTAAGCTGTAATAGTGGTTCTTTTATAAACTTGGGTGCTCTCATGCTTGGGACATACATACTGGCATTGAAATGTTATCTTGGTGGGTGTTTCCTTTAATGAACATGTAGTGTCCTTTTCAATCTCTTTTGATTAGTTTTAATTTGAAGCCTATTTTGGTAGACATTAAAGTGGGGTATAGTTTTTTCCCCCATAGGATCATTTGCTTAGAACATGTTTCTTTTCCAATCCTGTGCCATGTGTGAGGTAATATTCACCCTTAATATCGAGGTGTGTTTCACATATGCAACAGAAGAATGGCTCCTGTTTTTCCATCCATCCCCTAATTTTGTGTCTTTTGATTGGGGAATTGAGGTCATTGATATTGAAAGAGATCAATGATCAATGATTTTTCTTTTTTTCCCCATAACATAATATTTCTATTATTTTGGAATTTCCTGCAATGTGCCCTGGTCACACTTTCTTTTAATCCCTCCCAGGTCCACCCTCCCATCCTTGTATCCTCTAACCTAAAGCAAGCAAGCAAGCAGGCAGGCAAGCAAGCAGGCAGGCAGGCTGGCAAACAAACACCAAGTCCAATTTGCATTGTTCATATGCTCATTGGAGCATGGTCAAACTACTGTGGTCAGTCCCTTAATGGAAATTTAGTCCTACCCCACCCTAAAAGTCATCACCTGTGAAGATCTACACTTCAGCATCCCTGATTCTGACCAACAAGAAATCTGAGATGAGGAATGATTTTCTGAATTAAGCATCCTTGAAGGACTTCTATGGTCTTTGTTGCCACCTGAGGCCATGTTAATATCCAGAGACCATATTGATGGCCGTGATCTGGGCTGCCACTGGAGACTACATTGATAGTCATGAACCATACAGCAACTGGAAGTAATGTTGATTTTACTTGGTCTTTTTTTTCTTGCAGCTTTAATTATTTTTCCTTTGTTATGTATGTTTAGTGTTTTGATTATTATTTGGCAAGGGCCTTTCTTTTTTGGTTTAATCTATTTGGTGTTCTGTAAGCTTCTTGTACTTTATAGGCAGGGCCTTCTTTAGGTTAGGAAAATTTTCTTATATTATTTTGATGAAAATATTTTCCAGGCTTTAGAGCTGAGTTTCTTCTTCTTTATGCATTATTCTTAAGCTTAGTATTTTCATAGTGTTCCAGACTTCCTAAAGTTTTATGTCAGAAGTTTTTTTTTTTAGATTTAACATTTTATTTGATGGATGTATCCTTTTCTTCTATTGTGTCTTCAACACCTGAGATTCTGTCCTCCATTTCTTATATTCTGTTGGTGATGCTTGCATCTATA